CCCCCCCCCCCCCCGCAGTGCTTCTTCCCTGCTTCACACAACCTTCTTTAACCCGGGATCTGGCAGGCCGTCTGCACCGCTGGGGAGGGATGGGAAGGGGCCACCTTCGCCTGTCCTGACCCACAGAGCCGGAGGCCCACGTTCACCGCCCTGCAAAGGACCCCGTCTCCCTTGCCAACCGTCTGGCTGCCCTCGGGGTGCCCCACCGGCCTCTGTCAAACGCCAGGGTCGAGCGCCAGCCCCTCCCCGCCTCCCCTCCCCTTTGTTTTAAAGGCAGAAAGCGGCCCAGGAGATGGGGGCCCTGCCCCAGCTCTGCCCCCAAAGGAACGGGACGGCCGGGGACCTGCCTGCGCCCCTGCGGAGCCCCGCCCGGACGCCGGAGCCCTACGCCAGGCCCTTCCTGGGCAGAGGCACCAGTGCCCAGGTCAGCAGTTGGCAGGTGGGGGGGGCAATCGGTCCGCCAGGTGGGAGGGCCCTGTTGCCTAGCAACCTCGCCCGCAGTGAGAGGTTGGGAGGGGCGGGGGGGTGGCCAGGCTCTGAGCTCGGCTCCTCTTCAGTGACGTTTCTCAAACATGGCAGCTTTGCGGGCTTCCCAGAATCCCCCACTGCTCGCAAAGCAAAGGATTCTGGGCATTGGAGTCCACCTGCCCCAAGGACCCCCAAGGAATCTGCAGAGGGAATTAATTGTTCCAAAATAAACCCTCCAATCTTTCCATGGGAGACCCTAACCCTAATTCTACCCCCAACCCTCACCCCTCCCCTCCAGGGGCTTAATGTTGGGGTGACCCCCCCCCTCCCAACTGACTCTCCCCTTGCCTTGCAGCTCCTCCTCCACCCGCAGTGGAACCCCAACCTGAGGGAGCCCCTGAGGTTCCCCGAAGAAAGCCCCCTGGCCTTCTACGCGGTGGCCGCCCACCACCGCTCTCCCTGCGGAGGAAGCGCTCAGCTGTGGCCGGAGGAATGACCGTGGCCGGGCGGACGGCGGGGGTCAGCCTTGCCCAGTCGGGTTCCCTTCAGGGGTGGAGGGGTGAGGTGTTGTGTTGGCCAGGGTGGGTGTGGGTGTGTGAGCGTGGCCTGTGCCAAAAGGGGTTCAGGGGTCCCTCAGTGTGTGTGTGTGTCTTCCTGGGAGCCCCCACATGTCTCCTCTCCCCCCAAGACCAGCCCTTCTCTCCTCCATCGCTGTTCAGGGAGGGGGGCCTTTTATTTCCCTTTTGCAATTCTACCAATATCCCCCCCCCCCCCGACTGGCAGGCCAAAGAGCGCCCCTTTCTCCTCCTCTGGGCTGCCAATAAGCCTCCCACCACCGTGGGCAGAGGAAAGGAAGCGAATACCAGGGGAAACTGAGGAGGGTTTCCATAGTAATCCTGGCTCTGGCGAAGGCCGCCTTCTTCTCTCCCTTCGGTCTCCTCCTCCTCCTCCTCCACCTGCGTGTAACGTAGGAGTAAGCTCAGCGAGAAAGAGGAGCCCCTGCCAGCCTCCTCCTTCTCAACGGAGTGGCCGTGTTTCCTGCACCCCAAAACCTCCAGGGAGACGGCTCTCCCCAGACCTCTGGCCACCTAGCTGGCCCGGTTGTGCCCCCCCCTCCCCTTTGCTCCCTGCCCTCGGGCCTCTTCCACGCCCTTAAAAGTAAACGATAAAAAAGTGGCACAATATTTCCTGCCCACAGGGAGAGGCGGGCATGGTGAGGACACGTTCTCAGAAAGTTAAAAGAGGGAGGTTTCAACCCTTGTAGTTTCAGGATAAATTGCTGTAAAGACAGGGAAGTTAGTTCTCGGGGGTCTGATAAGGAAGGCTTCCGGGCCTGGCCGAAGGACTTGACCACCTAGGAGCCCACCCCGTCCTTGTTCACCAGGCCGACGGCCTCAGCCAGGTTGGCATTTCCAAGGTGGGTTTTTGGGAGAAAACGCAGCCTTGGGCTTTCTCTTTTCCCTGAGTTAATCCCCTCCATGAGAAAGGGGTGGCAGAGCCGGCGTCCGTTTTCCAGAAACCAGGCCCTCCTGAACCGTGCCAGGCGGGCATTGCCAGCGGAAAGGGGCTGGGGGGAGGCGGCTGGCAATGCATTTGTAAGATTAACAGGCGTGTTTTTCACCCGCCTGGTTTCAAGGCACTGCTTGTTGAAGGCACAGCTGACGAAATGCGGCTGATGTTCCTTAAGGGGTGTGTGTGTATGTATGTGGGGGGGGGGTGAGTTTTCAGGAGAAGAAAATGCCCCCCTCCCCCCCCAGGCTCAGCAGTGTTCAGCCGCAAAGGAGCCGCAATTCCTAATTCCAAGTATTTGACACCAACTGGGACCCCCCTCAGCGGCATAGAAAAGGGTCTCCGGACGTCGCCGAGTGATGCTCTCTCTGGTGGTGGCTAAGTTTGCATCTCCCCCTCTTCACCAAATATATTTGTGGAACTCAATTCTGAAAATCGGAGTGGTTTTTCAATGTTAACGGGTGGAAACGGGCTGGGGGGGGGTCTCGCCTGCCCATTCCAGGGGGGGGGCCCGGCCACCGTTCCGCAGCCCCCCTCCCCAATATGACGACTCCCAGAGAGCTGTTCTTCAGCTGCCCCAAAGACCCCCCACCATTGCTCAGCAACCCAAGGTCTCTCTCTCCCCCCACCCCCCCAATACAGACTCCCCAGGTGCCCACGTGCTCCAAATGAACAACAGGGAGAGATCTGGGCATCTTGTTTTAACAACCACAAGGACATATGATCATAATTCTGAGTTCAACTGCAGTCGGAAGCCGAGGACCACCTGTAGTCTCCAACCCACTTGCAGGGTGGGAATTAAGGGCCCTCAACTAAGATGGGAGCAGATCAATTGCTATTCCCCTTCTGTCGGGGGCCACTTAAAACAGTGTTTCTCAACCTTGGCCACTTGAAGATGTCCGGACTTCAACTCCCAGAATTCCCCAGCCAGCGAATGCTTAATCATTCCCCTGGCTCAGCTGATAAGGGAGGAGAGCTTGTGGCTTAGAGGTTAATACAACTGCATAATCCAGTGTTTCTCAACCTTGGCAACTTGAAGATGTCCGGGACTTCAACTCCCAGAATTCCCCAGCCAGCGAATGCTTAATCATTCCCCTGGCTCAGCTGATAAGGGAGGAGAGCTTGTGGCTTAGAGGTTAATACAACTGCATAATCCAGTGTTTCTCAACCTTGGCAACTTGAAGATGTCCGGACTTCAACTCCCAGAATTCCCCAGCCAGCGAATGCTTAATCATTCCCCTGGCTCAGCTGATAAGGGAGGAGAGCTTGTGGCTTAGAGGTTAATACAACTGCATAATCCAGTGTTTCTCAACCTTGGCAACTTGAAGATGTCTGGACTTCAACTCCCAGAATTCCCCAGCCAGCATTCGCTGCCAAGGTTGAGAAACACTGTTCTAGCACCTCCCTTCATCATTCCCCTGGCTCAGCTGATAAGGGAGGAGAGCTTGTGGCTTAGAGGTTAATACAACTGCCTAATCCAGTGTTTCTCAACCTTGGCCACTTGAAGATGTCCGGACTTCAACTCCTAGAATTCCCCAGCCAGCGAATGCTTAATCATTCCCCTGGCTCAGCTGATAAGGGAGGAGAGCTTGTGGCTTAGAGGTTAATACAACTGCCTAATCCAGTGTTTCTCAACCTTGGCAACTTGAAGATGTCCGGACTTCAACTCCTAGAATTCCCCAGCCAGCGAATGCTTAATCATT